TCAGGTTTTTCGCCGGCATCAGAAGCAACATCGATTGGAGGAACACGTTCAATAGTTTCAAAAATTTTTGAACCAGCACCGGAAGCAAAACTGAAGGCTCGTAAATCGGTTGAAAGATAGTTGAGAGCGCGAGAACCAATTAAAACTGAAAAGAATACATTAACGACCTTTAAATTGAAGATAATGAATTAGAGGAATGAATCGGATACAGTGCATAAATTAATAACCAAAAAAATAAAATAAACATATACATTTCCTGAAGTCAATTCATTATCAATAATCAACGTAGATCCAAACCAAAATGCCAAAGAATAAGTTGCAAATATTCCAAAGAAGGTTAAGCCAAGAGAAGCACCATTCAACCAAGCTTTCTTAAAACCTTCCTTTTTTGCATCATTTAAATAAGTATCATAAAGGTCAGAGAGTTTCTTTTGAGTACCAAAGGCCACTGCAGTTCTGATTGTTGATATGGATTCTTCAGCGATTATTCCAGCACGAGAGTAGGATTCCAAACTTCTTCTCGTAAAAATCGAACTAAATTTATTCAGTACACCAGTAGTAATGATAACATAAGGAATAAGACAACATATCACAAGGGTCATTTTCCAACTTATAGTAAATGCGATGATGAATCCTGAAAGGAATTGTGCAAGATACTATAAGAGCAATGAAATTGTATAAATTAGTAAAAAGAATTGAGAAATTAAACAGCATTATGTATACGAAACTTACTTGAAGAACGAGTGAAGCTTTTTCACTGATACCATCTTGTATCAAATGTGTATCAGAAGTAATACGAGTAGTAACTTCACCAGCACCAAATTTATCAAAATAAGCAATGTTTTGTCTCAGGACTGCGCGAAGATATCGTTCACGAATTTGTCGAGTAATTCTGAAATAATATCAGTCACGTGATGTTAGTCTCATTCAAATTATTTAATAACTTAGCATAAAACTAGATAAAGAATCACCTTTCACCAGTATATGACCAAGTAGAAATAAATATATACGTAGCAAAAAACATGAAAATTGCAAGGTATACGAAAATTAATGTGTATGAATTTATTTGGTCAGAAAATTCATCGTTGGTCATCATGTGAAGTTGAAATCGAGTAAAAGAGTCGATCATTTTTCCGAAAACTATGGTTACTGCAGGCTGCAAAATTGAATAGGACATAAAAAACGTTAAGAGATTTGAAAAAAAATGACACGTAAAAAGAAGGATAATGCACATACCATGGCAGCACCTGCACCCGCTGAAAATACTAATCCAATAAACATAATCATCCAATCAAATTTTGTAGCGAACCGATATAAAGTAAAATATGATTCTTTTTTTTCAGTCGTTCTAATTTGATCATTTAAAATTCGTTCCTCCTCCGGATTAAGTATTATATCGGATGTTTCCTGAATGGGTATCGCGATGGTTTCTTCTGTCATCTTGGAATTTTACTTTATAGAATTATTTTAATAGAAATTTTTTGTCCTGTAAATTCGCATAAAAGTTTTGGCTGATTAAAAATTTTAGGATGTCGATGATAATTTATAGAAAAATTTGTTTGTCTACAATGGATATTTGTTTAGCCAGTAATGCCGAAGTAAAAATTTTCAATTAAAGATTTCCCAATTAAGGTACCTGCCGTAACCTGTGCTCATTTCACCGACAATCACTTCACTGACAAAGTAGTTCTGGTCATTTTCATTAGAGTCAGATTAGAATTAGAGTTAAGGTTAAAAAAACTTGGTGAAGTGGGCTATCAGTGAATCGATTGTCGGCAAAACCTACAAAAAATTACTTTATGTGTGCGGGTCAAAATCCCAACAGCGAAAATCCCGGCAATTAAAAATCCTGCCAGCCAGAATTTTTAGGCAGAAAATCCCAAGTATGGGGGTTAAGATATGGTTTGTATGGTCTATGATATTTTTAACTGTCGGGATTTTTGACTGTCTGGATTTTTTGTCAGGATTATGACCCGTCGGGATTCTGTCTGTCGGGATTTTGACCCATAACCATATCTTATTACATAGACAATTAATTCATAGACAGGTTTATTTTAAAGGCAATTAATTTACGGACAATTCAATTCATAGATAGCTCGTTTGCAAACGGTTCATTCTATGGACAATCTTAAAAGAAAATAATTCAATTACAGAAATGATCGTCTTGATAAGACGAACTGAATTCCATAATAATTAATAATTGTCTGCAAAATGAACTGCCTGTGAAGTGAACTATCTATGAATTAATTGGCCTTAAAATAAACTTGTCTATGAATTGATTGTCTGTGAAATGATTTTCTGTGAAGTGATACGTATACGTATCCTGACTTATCGCTTTACTTAAGTAATAGTAAGTAACGGTCGGGATTGAACGAAATATTGCTGCTACGTATAAATAGAATGATCGTAAAAATTACTTATTATTACCTATTGCCAAACATCTTAGATAATATTATATTAACGTTAAGTAAAAATATGGCCATCTCTAATTGTCGGTGAAATGACAAAGATCTGATTAATTAAGTAAACATCGGAGTCGTCTTATATCGATCTATTTTTTTATTAACGATTGTACAAATAGTAGTACTCTTAGTGGGTTGATTTGAACAAACCCAGTTATAATGAATTTATTATATGGTTCATGACTAGTGATGCAGGGGAATTAATTCTATATATGTAGAATTAATTCTACAACCAACACTCATAATACATAACCTACCATCTACCTACCAATAGAAGAAACATCTACATCTATTTTATACAAACTATTACATTTATCAATATGTACATACAACACATAAGAATACAATAATAATCTAAAATAACAAGTTTGGGAGAATTATTGTTTATCCAATAACATCAATATAGTTAGCATTACAGAAACTAAAATTGCATAAGACAATACAAATGTTAAATTTTCCAGATCCTAGCAATTTACCTATTATTGGTCTTATACTGATAGCTGCAAAGTTGAAACAACAATTATAATTCAAAAACATCTAAAATCACATATTTATAAAATACTTCAATTCTCTGTTTTTATTATTATTATAGATCTTTTCTTTAAACATAACTTTAAATTCTACATTATTTCAGTTTATTTATCTAATAATAATTTTCAATGTAGACTTCTTATTCAAAATAATATCATACAATAGATTCAAGAAGCAAATATTAAAAGCATATAATCAATAATCATGAATAATTTCAATGTCTCTGATAATATACAACCATTATCAATCAAACTCAAACTTATTCATTTCCTCTAATATAACAACATGTATGATCTAGCTAAATATACACAATTATTAACTCCCATCTGACATAGCAGCAGATACAGTAGTTGTATTGATTACATTTGAACTAACTATTCTATCATTTGATACTTAACTTCTTATTATACAAATGATACTAACCAAAATACATTTAGTGATTACAAAATTCTCATATCATTATAGGAATTCCCTTATACAATTACTGGAAAATGATGATTAGTTACTAAAATTAAATGAAGACTTTGTTTACAAACAAATAAACCAAGACCATTGACAAGTTTTTACTGATAAAGTTACATTTAATCTTTAAACTAACAAGACTTCTTCTATAACCAACACCATAGAATTACTTAAAGTTTCATGATATAAAATTCAAAAAAGCATTATTGTAGCTGTTCTACAATACATTTCAAACAAAAAATTCACAGTTCAGAATTTCCAACACATCTTCTCTTTCAAGTTATCTAAACTACTTTCATGTTTTAAAAAACTTAACAACATTATAAGACAGATCAAAGTCTCAATTCAAAATCAAACTTCAATGTCTATATCTCACAATTAAGATATTGATCAATTTAATTCTCTTTATTATCTTAATATATCTGCTCTGTTTCATAACTCTAACCTTTTATCTAATTGAATAATTGCAGCCAATAACATTCTACCATATCTGTAATCTAGAAAACATTAAAAATATAAGTAAACAAATTAATAATAACATAGACAAAAGATATAGTAAACTTCAAAATAGTCTAACATTAATAATTAATAGTATACTTAATCAATACAAAAATTCTATTAGATTTGATAATATCAAAGAACAAAATAATATTATTACTAGACCAACTCTTATCAAACAGTATATTTAATAACATTTTAATGACTGAATAGCTCCTAGAAACATCCAATCACAATTATTTGACACAATTTGACAACAAGAATACTAATCTAAATCTAATATTAATCTTAAATAATATCAAATAGTACTTAATGAATTTTTTTCAATATAAGTTTTTGAAGTTACTAGCCAACTCCTTAATAATAAAACATGTGAACCATTAGGCATTAGTTATAAAATGCTTAAACATGCTAAAACATTATTTCTCGATACAATTATAGCTTTCTTTAATTATTGTCTTACATCTGAACAAATTTCAAACTAATAGAAAGAAGAAAGAATTTTTTTTATTTCCAAAAAGTCTATTTTTAATGTCAATTTAACTAATACCAGACCTATTAGTTTGCTTAAATATGTCAAAAAACTTTATACCAAATTCTTTACTAACTGATTCAACTACATCTTTACCTATTACAAAATTTTATCACCCTTTAACTATATAGCTCTACTTGGCAATACTATAACTATTTCTATACATATTTTTAACAATATTATCAAAGAAGTTTCTTACAATTCTAAACAGTTTTGGCTTCTATCTTAGGATATAAGCAAAGCTTATGACTTCATAGATCTAATACTTTTTACAAAATCCTTATTATGTTTAAACATACTATCCAATTTTATCAACATTCTTACCAACTTGTTTACTAATTGATATAATTAAGTTATTACAAATCTAGGTTTTACTAATATATACAATGTTAAAAATAGCATCAACTAAGAAGAAACTATAACTTCTTTATTTTAGAGAATCTATTATAATTTTCTAATTAACAAAATTGTTTCAGACTTCTTAGAATACATTTTGACTACAAAATAGAATACTAGTTTGCTTCAGCCAAAGTTTCAACAACTTCAAACCTTAGTATTTGTATTAGCATACATGGATGATATACTTTGAATAGCCAAATCCAAAGAAGAATTATAAACAATTATTGTCATAGCCATCTCTTTTTATCATATAGCTAACATACAAATTAATCTAACTAAATCAATTCTTATTTCAAACATCTCATCTATAGCTTCTATTCATTTTTTTAATTTATCACTTACATCTACTCCTGCCAACCAATCATTCAAATTTCTAAGATACTGATTTATTCTTAATAACTCTTATACAAAACAAAGCCAATTAATTTATAATAAAACAATCCAACTTATTAATATTACAAATACCAAAAGAATTACAAACAAACAAGCTATATATATAACTAACACTGTAATTATTCCTACTATTGAATACAGATTATATAACATAATTCTTAAATACTCTACTTGTGACAAAATTTTATCTAATATCTTATTATAATTAAACATAAAATCAAACTCTTTTATACTAGTCCTAACAGCATTATACTAAACCCATATATATATAATATATATAATATTTGAAATATCCAGTTACAACATCATGTATTCTACTTTTAATAAAAAATTAATAATTCAGAAACATTTGAAATCTCTACAAAAATTAAATTACAGCAATTCCAAAACAACTTCTGGTCTGCTACTAACATTCTTCAGTACAACTAACCACTTATTAATGGACTTAACAAACTTACATTTAGCTTCAAAATTATACAACTTTTATAGTACTTGGATATTTCAATTTTAGCAAATTCTAATATCATGTGGCTTAACACAATTCATAATAGTTATCAATCATTAGAACTAATACTTATTCAGTATCCTAAATATAATACTTTTTTTTTTAAATATTAATGGTGAGGCCATGCCTCTATCTTTATTGAATATTCAATTGAGATTTTACATAAAGT